GCGTATCCCGTGGGACCGTGTCGCCGGGATACGACGGAAAGAGCAAAAGGAAAATGAAAACGAAAAACGACCGAGAAAAAGTTGAAACTGCTTACGAATCTCATGCCTGGGAAAAACACGAGGATCACTTTGATACGGTGAAAGAGGCCTCGGGTTCAAGCCCGAGTTACAGAAAGTGAAGGAGAAAAAAAGAAACTAAAAGGGGGAAAATGGAAAATAAGAAGGCAGAGATGGCTGATAGTCGAAAAAGGGCCATTAGAGGATATTCCAGGGACTCGGAGAGATAACGACGAGAATGGCTACTTATCTGCCATCTCCATCGTTTTATCCTTCTTAATTCTCTCCTCGAATTATTTTTTTCTTTTCCTTGTCCACCGACGAATGACGGTAAATGGTGAAATTACTATTGCTAAATAAATCGGGGGGAAGGGGGATGGGGGGGGCGCGCCCTGAGAGATGGCATTCATATTATACGCAGTGCGACGGCATTTACAGGATATCGCGAGAGATGTCCTCTTATGGTAGTGTCTTCGTACAAACGTGTCCCCCTCCGGTTGGGCGCCTCCAGGAATACTCTCTCGCGGAGCTACCGCGTGTCTCAAGCCTTCAAATCCTCCAGTATCAACTGCATTCGAAAATTTTATGTGCAACCACTTATCGCGGGGACAAAATACTGTGCTATACTCTGGAATATAACTTTTGTAGAATTCTTCATTAACGAATCAGTTAATTTTTTTACGTAATTCTTGTTATTCTCTATTCTCAGGTCCAGATGAGTCTGACAAATGCAATTAAGCATCAGTACGGAAAGATATTGTTCTTTGGCTGTAATTATGGTGTGTTCAGCAGTCGAGACGTTGACAAATGTGCAACAACTAAAGTTATAATTATTATCCTTTGTGACCTGCTTTCCGGTCCTCGAGAAAGGAGTGATTTTACATCAATCGATATCTGTTTTGTCGTATTTTTTCCAAACTTCTAGGACTGATCAATCATAATAATGAAATCATGAGTTATACTCCAGAGGACGTAATAGACTCGAGTGGGGCGATTAATTCTCGAGGATATGACTGTATTCTATCGCGGGAATGAAATCAAAACGACTTCGGTTGAAGAATTGAATCCAAATAGAGAAATAAATTGACAGGGAATTTAACAACGGCAGTGGTTTGTGCGGCGTTATGTTCGCATTTAGAGATACAACTGTAACAGTGTTGTCCAGGTGGAGTAATGGGATTGTATGCTGGTGACTCTTGAAGGCGATGTAGAAGTATTGGCCCGCGGGGCCAGGCATATATCTCAGTTCCGGAATCGTGGCCAACCACCAGCTATTACATTATATAGTAGTCTCGGTCACTCTGGCTTTCCATTCGCCACTCCATGTGATTACACCCGAACATTTTCCACCGAGTCCGCCACACGCTATTATTCTTCAATAATATTTTTAAAAAAGACAAAATTACTCTTGCCATTTACTTGAGAGATTTATTATATATTTTTATATAATAAATATAAATATATTTTTATTTATTATATATTTTCTCAAAACTCTATCACCGCGATTGAGTCATTATTTCCATGATTGATTAAATTCCAGCAATTATCATTATATCATTTAGAGGCAGATTGTGTGGAAAATCTTCATCGATAAACTCCGGGTGGGTTATAATGGGTTCCGTTTGTTTATCGATTATTTCTCTAGTGGCAGAGGGTGAGGCCCCCGATTACGTTGATTAAAAGATTCTGTCTTTTGAATGTTTGAGGAGAGAAAAAAAATGCCGCGCATTTGGTCCCTCTTATTAGAGGCCTCTGGTTTAATGGCGTCTACCCACTGTCAGTGGACCTCACCAGACGGAAATAAACGGTCTTAACGAAGGTGTATCTCTGCACGTTTTGCACGCTCATTCCAGGGTACAGATAACGAGATCAATTGAATTATTCGTTAAGTGCACATCGCCAGTTCTCGATTCAATAGAATTCGATACCCACAAAAAATATCGAAAGATTCATATTTGCAAGGATTTTTCACTCAGTTCCCCGGAATCTTCACGAGCACTACTTAGGTGCATAATTTTTATTTCAGAAAATTCTTCTTTCCGAGAACGGAAATAAACGGAAATTGTCCTGTGATTTTTACATGTTGACCTCGAAAAATCCCAGTTCCGTATAATTTTCATCGTTCATTCGGAGCACGCGCTTTGAAAAAAGTTCATGAAATATGCAAAAATAACTGCCTTCGAAGGCCAAAAACTCCGTTGAAGTAGTCGAAAATATATTATATATACTGGTTATTTATTATCAATGGTGCGTTAGTCCAGTAGCGAAGCGGTTAAACGATTTAAGTAAATTTAGCTCTTATTGCTGAGTTTTCGGTCTATACTAAACGGTCATGAAAAAGATTACCGCATCTTTCTAAATTTGGCTATATATGGCGGTAAATAATTATCGATATCTCGAAAGTCTCGAGACAATCGTCTCTGGCGGTTAATTTGAATTTATAATTCATTTAGTTTCAAGATTTTCACTGTAGCACACGTTTAG